TGTTATTCGTGTGTATTTGGGGGGAAGAGGGGGCGCTGTATATACATTGCAATCATTAATATACATGCGCTTTAGGTGTATACATGTGAACGACGCTGCTTATACCAGGAGGGTAAACAAGAGAAACGCACACTCATTGTTAGCTCATACCAGAACACAACAAATTCACCCCCTGTGCGATACTTAGAACTAAACTTACGTAATGTTAAGTCATATCTAGCTGCTTCTAAAGGTCAGACACCTTCAGTCCCATACACATGTTCCCTAGCTCATGGCACACAGCAGTGTACGTCAGTCTATGTCCTGTAGCATTTACTGTTTGATATTTCTACTATATTACATTTTAAATACTTTATAATGATAATGTCGAAGGTGTTTTATTTGGTATAAAGAATATTCAGCAGGGTATCTAGTAGGTACGTGTGTAATCTATTCAAAGAAAATTAAATTGTAATTATTTAATCGGACACGCATCATGAAGTTGGAATGTTACTGTTTTGCATTTTAAAGGTCAAATTATTTCATTACTATTCACAATACAGGAGGTTTAAATCGCATTTTCCCCGAAATAATTACGACAAATTGTACAAAGTTACAATGTACAGAATATTCCACAGATCCCAAGGTGTTATGACAACGAAGCAACAGATGATGAAAGCCCGGTACTTGGCCTATCCCGGTATTCATACTCACGAATGGAAAAGATAAATAAAGTGATTTGCTTAGAAAATATATGGAGATGTAATTTCACATTTGTTAATTACATTCCTGCATATTAGACAGTATGAAATACTTCGGATATGACGAAACACACTTGTTATACCATAAATTTTATGTGATAGATGTTACCAGAGGATGGAAAAGGTATCCGTTTGTAAAAACATCAAGTGCAACAGTGTTTTTTTTCTAGATACTGGTAAATTATACGTTTGTCCGAAGACTGTAAATGAATGCACACTTAGTACAATATGTGCACCATTTGACGCCCTAAAAGTGTCATTCTTTCTCTACCAATGTTTGTACACATTAATGCTGCGGTTTCTCTGGCCTTATCTTATAGTGGGATGACACGCGGGCGCAACAAATAGATCATTATCTCTAATCAACAGTCACGTGACGTCCCTCCGGCTGTCATGCTTACTATTACTTCTCAACGGGTTTATCATGCGTGGTCTGGCACCAAACCATGCCATGTCAACATTGCATAATATGTAATAAATTCTCAGTATGGAATCATTAATACCTGCGAAAAAATGTGATGAGGGCAAAGGACACTAGGTTATGCTCGCCGAGTTCCCCTAACGAAATAATTTAGTTGATAATCCATGACCTGAGAATAATTAAACATCGTATTTCAGTCTTTTAAACTTACATGGGGCTTTACTGTACGGCAGAAAGGATAGGCCTATACCACTAGAGACAATAGGGAGAAACACAACGCTAGCTATGACACTCCCAAGCCGTTGTTTACGTACCAAAGCCAGCAGCCCGGGGCCATACGAGCTCCTACCGGGGACCCACCTGAGCCATCCTGCCCTTGTCTCGAGCTCAAGTTACGTGTCGTCCGACCGCGTTCGAGAGCCTGGCTTCGTACGTTCTCAGTCACGTGGTGCGCGAGCGATCCTGCTCTCTCTCCCCCGTATTTTCATAAATAAGTCAGCAAGAGAGAAGAATCAATTAATAATATCTATCAGAAATAACTTCAATATTCAAAATATCAGAAATAAGAAACGCTTATCTATCAGAAATGACCGTTTTTTTCTCATTCGCGGCTTATTTAGGATTTTTCTATGCACAGTATTTATTCTTGTGTTCAACGAGTGATTATCAATTTGGTAGTTATACATTCTACATTGGTTTTGGAAACGTATCCGTAAAAAAAATCTTTATGAACATCAGAACATGTTTTGATTATGCTAATGTGTCTTTTTCTTGAATGTAAATTACGTAATTAATATCTTATACATATACATATTTTTAATTTCTCTTCTCACAGGATCCTGAAGATGTCTATACTGAAGAGTTACCGTAATCCCGACCCTTTGGTGCAGTATTGTGTAAATCATTCATTGAGGTATGTGTAAATTCATTGTAAATTCATTAATTGTAAATTGTAATTGTAAAGTCATTAATTGTAAATTGTAAAGTCATTAATTGTAAATTGTAAATTGTAAATTCATTAATTGTAAATTGTAAATTCATTAATTGTAAATTGTAAAGTCATTAATTGTAAATTGTAAATTCATTAATTGTAAATTGTAAATTCATTAATTGTAAATTGTAAATTCATTAATTGTAAATTCATTAATTGTAAATTGTAAATTCATTAATTGTAAATTGTAAATTCATTAATTGTAAATTCATTAATTGTAAATTGTAAATTCATTCATTGAGGTATATATGAGCTATTGTATGAGTTAAGTATGAAAGGATGAGGTATGTATGAAGTATGGATGAGGTATTGTAAATTCATTGAGGTATGTGTAAATCATTCATTGAGGTATGGAAGTTAGTCGATCTGTTTTACTTTAGTTATATAGAAGTGTGATAAACATATTTCTCTCTCTCTCTCTCTCTCTCTCTCTCTCTCTCTCTCTCTCTCTCTCTCTCTCTCTCTCTCTCTCTCTCTCTCTCTCTCTCTCTCTCTCTCTCTCAACACACACACACACACATACATACATCGTGTGTGTTTGCATGTGCGTGTGTGTTTGTGTGCTTATCGTGTGTGTGTTTACGCGCGAGTGTGGGTATATATTTGGCACCTTCAGCCCCCATACGTATATATATGTATGACTATATGTATATAAATATATATGTACATATAAAAGTATATATATGGCTATGTATACCATATTTATATATATATATTATATATATTTATATATGTATATATAAGTATGTATATATGTATATTATAGATAAACACACGCATAGATAATAACTATACATATGATGTGATTTGAATATGCAATGGATAGATCAAATGCCTGTTTTTCGTCCTTTTAACAGATTAACCGACGTGCAAAAACGCCTGAATGATTTGACTCTGCAGCACAGGAGAGGCAGAATGTTGGGAGCTCCCGAGGTTCTGCAGCTCAACTCCAACATAATGCAGGCGATAGGAGCTAAGAAAGTGAGTTTGGCCGTTTGAAGTTGTTTACGAACTGGCATGAAGTATCCACGTACACAGGCTCTGGCTCTCTCTCTCTCTCTCTCTCTCTCTCTCTCTCTCTTCTCTCTCTCTCTCTCTCTCTCTCTCTCTCTCTCTCTCTCTCTCTCTCTCTCTCTCTCTCTCACGCACATATATGTATATATGAATATATATATATATATATATATATATATATATATATATATATATATATATATATATATATGTTTATGTAATTTGTATTTATCTGCATTTTTTACTTGTATCTGTATTTCTATAAATGTGACTGAGTGTATGTGCTTCCTTTAGAATATGGCGTTCTATGCATTTTCAAGTATATTCCTATTTTCTCGGTCATTTAGTGAGCTCTGTTTTGCTTCATCACTCAACAGGTGCTAGACATCGGGGTGTTCACCGGCGCCAGTTCCCTCTCCGCCGCCTTGGCTCTGCCTCCTGAGGGGAAGGTCCACGCCCTGGACATCAGTGAGGAGTATACCAACATAGGTAATGGAACTTTCGAACAAATCAGAGTAAATGAATTATGCAGATATTCTTGCATTTCCACATTTGCAAAGTCATAAAACACAGCTAATCCCTCGGAATATCTCACAATAACCTGTAATGCCACGACCCCAAGACGCCATTCCTAAGGAACCGATCGTTCCAGGCAAGCCGTTCTGGGAGGAATCCGGCGTCGCGGACAAGATCCGTCTGCACATCGCTCCGGCTGCCGAGACGCTGCAGAAGTTCGTCGACGGCGGAGAAGCCGGCACCTTCGACTACGCCTTCATCGACGCCGACAAGACCAACTACGATCGGTACTACGAACTGTGCCTCACCCTGCTGCGTCCTGGAGGAGTCATAGCCTTCGACAACACGCTCTGGGATGGGGCTGTGATCGACCCCGCTGACCAGACTCCGGACACGGTGGCTCTCAGGAAGCTCAACGAAAAGCTGAAGGACGACCAGAGAATCAACATCTCCTTCCTCAAGATTGGCGATGGCTTGTCGCTCTGTTTCAAAAAATGAGTTTCGTTTTTTACATGCTAGGCACAGAACTTCCCAAATGGTTATTAAGATTGTTTAGGAGAATGTCGAAACCTTAGTCATAATTAGAAAATGTGACCAAGAATTTATATAAAAAAGGTTATAAAAGTCTGCTGTTTTTGCTTTCCTATACATCAAAAACTCGATTTATGATCTGGTAAGAAATATGATAATGTACAAACATATATATGTATTTATGTAGATATATATGTCTGTATATACAAAGTGTTCATGTCTGTAAACACACACGCACACATACACACACCATATATATTATATATATATATATATATATATATATATATATATATATATATATATATATATATATATATATATTTATATATACTTATATATACTTATATATACTTATATATACATATATATGAATGTGGTTGTGTGTGTGTGTTTATGTGTGTTTCTACACAGATATACATAGTTTACATTTTTCATTTTGTTGCGTCTGCAATCACTGCAATACACACCGACCGAAAGGCCCTCGTACCTCGCCGGCGTCTCGCCAGAAGCAGATCGAGAGAGCTAAAAGGCATTAAAATAGGGAAACGACGCCATTAGTGGAGATCTTATGATAGATGTGGGAGGAAATTGCAATACTAAAACCTGCCATTCATTTTTTTTTTGCAAATAACTTATCATCCTTAAAACTCCGAAAAATTGGGAGAAATTCAGCAATTCTGATACAGGGAAAATAAGTGAAATGAGAGTGTGAACGTATGATAAAACTTGAGGCTGAGATTATGGTAAGGGGGAGACAGTATTGTCAATGCTTCATTATCTAGTAACACCAGTAACGAGGTAAACTTATACTAGATTTACCTTTAGGCTGAGATCGTTAGGTACGAACACATCAGTTCTCGGTGCGTCCCAGATATTTCCTGAAGACTTACCACTTTTACGAACTTGCAAGCTACACATGAAGACAAGAAGGGGCCGCATTGGGTGGTGGCTTAGCTCGTTTTGCTTTCCTTTGGCGTAGCTTTTCATATATGGTCAAAAGAGTTGCCACATCATAGGTCAGATGAAAGTAATCCAAGGTTCCTAGTTTATACAAAAAAAAAAAAAAAAAAAAAACCCGCTTTATATATTGTTTTTATATATAAGTATAAAAGAAAAAGAAAAAAAAATGTTTCCATTACAGTTCACCGAAGAAGCTGTTCAGTATGTAGCCCTCTTTGGTTTAAGGAAGATTTAGGAGTGAAAGGGAATGGTAGAAAGGGAAAGGGAAAGGTAGAGGGCGAGGGAGAGGAAGAGGGAGAGGAAAGGGAAAGGGAGAAGGGAGGCGAAAAGGAAAGGGAAGATGATAAAAGGGGGAGAGCGAGAAGCACCTCTCACGTTTGGGGGGATCCGTGGAATTATTACGTCCTGCTAGTTATTGTCATTGTTACTACTACTAAAATCATCATCATTATCAATATTATCCGTATAGTTATCATCATCATTATCAATATTATCCGTATAGTTATCATCATCATGATCATTACTATTATTACTAACCATTTCTTTGGGTGTCTGCATGCGCAAAATGCTATTTCTGGGAGTGAACGAGATTACTAGAGAACCAAAGTAGCATTCACTGGTCCTGTGGTACTGTCAACCGATCGTCTCGCTCTGTCGGGCATGGGAAGAGAGCGCTGAAGGCCGATCTGTAACAGTAAGCTACGATAGATCAAAACCACACCAAGAAGTCGTACTAAATCTCTCTCTCTCTCTCTCTCTCTCTCTCTCTCTCTCTCTCTTCTCTCTCTCTCTCTCTCTCTCTCTCTCTCTCTCTCTCTCTCTCTCTCTCTCTCTCTCTCTCTCTCTCTCTCTCTCTCTCTCTCTCTCTCTCTCAATCTCTCATAAAGCACACTTGGTTATAGAGCGGTTAGCGGTTTATAGACGTTTCCTGTTTAACGAAAGAGGCAATATGTGTCTAGGACTGGATAGTGGAAATTCATAATCGAATGAATAATGATGTACTGCTTTCCCCCTTATACACAGAAAATACCAAGCCACATCAGTTGAAAGCCACATTAATTAACTGTGGGGAACGAATATTTAAAACTCTTTATGATGATAAAATGCATAACAATAGTGAATTACCTTCAGCGTTTAAAATACTGTTACATATCTAAATTAGAATAGATGTAAGCTCCTTAGGGAATGGGCGTGACATTTAACATTATTTCACATCTACTGAGGCACGGACGACTACGTAACCTGGATCTACGATGAACTGTATTCATGTCGACAAATGTAGAAAGGTATGAATGAGAATGAATATCTTCACAATGCAAGAGATGTATTTGACCGGTTTCGAATATATTTTGTATTTCTGACGGAGATATATTCGAAAAAGGTCAAATACATCTCTTGTATTGTGAAGATATTCATTCTCATTCATACCTTTCTACAACTGTATCTACAAGTTCAGAAGTTATATAATTCCAAATCATCCAAACCCTCATGGGAGATGGTTTTCAAATTGCATCCATAACCAATACGACTAATGCTTTATCGAAAGAAAGAAAGAAAGAAAGAAAAAAATCAAGTATCCTTTGGGCAGAATAGTCAAAAAAAGGAATAAAGTTGTCCAAAATCTCCCTCTCCTCCGGGATTAGTTTGGAATCTTGGAATGGAAGAAAATGCGTCGGTTTCAATGGGAAGCGCACTTACTTCGACTAAGTATCTTAATGACGAAAGTCTCGAAAGGATGAATTGAAATCAGCTGAGCGAGTGGCTCTTCGGGAGACAGGCCGCAAAAGAAGAAGAACAAAAATGCAGGCACTCGTTATGCATTAATTGATGAATCAATGAATACGTAAGATAAATGAATACATACACACACGCGCTCGCGCATATAAACACACACACGCACACATTTATATAAATAAGGAAAATGTGTATGATATTGACAATAGTAATGATAACAATGATAACACATACACACACATGCATATATACATGCATTTACATATATACACATAATGTATATATATAAATAGATAGATAGATAAAGATATATAAGAAAAAATGCTGAAAAAACATATTTAACAAAATACATGGGAAACTCTGCAGCCTGTAGCTAATGCTAGAGAAAAAGTTATGCAATTTGTAAGGAAGCAGTATATGAGCGTAAGGAAATATGGAAATTTATATCTTTATCTTTATATCACCACCAACTAAAGATAATGACTCAATTCTCTGAGTGAATCCTAATAATCAATTCAATTCCACCATATAGTTACCAGTCGTCAATAGTCCTTACTACATACAAGATACATATCATATTAATAATACTGCTGCTAATGATTATGATGATGAGCGTTTGGGTTATACCGAAAGCTTTTAAGTCAGGATTCACAGCTACACAGAAAAAATATCGTTAGTAAATCATGCCAGGCATTTTGACACGAACAATGAAGAAATATAGTTGTTAACGGTACCCAACTGTTGGTATCCCTGGTTTTCCATATTACTTTTGGGTATGTGTGGCTCATCTGAATATTGCAAGGCATATTCCTTTCCTTACGAGAGTAAAATAATTTCACAGTGAATCCATACGAATTCCAGAACTATTTGAGACATGAATCAAAACGAGGTAGTTTCGAAACCCAAAATACCAACCCTTCCGTATCACAAGGTTCTGATCGTTATTGAATGCTTCGACACTCCTCATAACGAAAGTTTTCTGTGTAGATGTACAGTACGCAGTATAAGCATTGCAGGCAAATTTCACTCGGTTGAAACGTTTACAAAGAAAAGAAAAGAAAAGAAAAGAAAAGAAAAGAAAAGAAAAGAAAAGAAAAGAAAAGAAAAGAAGAGAAGAGAAGAGAAGAGAAGAGAAGAGAAGAGAAGAGAAGAGAAGAAGAGAAAAGAAAAGAAAAGAAAAGAAAAGAAAAGAAAAGAAAAGAAAAGAAAAGAAAAGAAAAGAAAAGAAAAGAAAAGAAAAGAAAAGAAAAGAAAAGAAGAGAAGAGAAAGAAGAAGAAGAGAAAGAGAAGAAAGAAGAAGAAAGAAAAAAAAAAAACATACATTTAGCAATACTAGAACCTGGAGACATTCGGAAGTTTCTAATGACTCTTTCTATTACGAACAGAGAAAACGAATTCTAGTTGTTCTTAAGTTCTTCCATACAAACTACTTGTGAGATCTAAATCGTCACATTGGCTTGTTTGTATATGACTTGGACTCCAAATATACAATTGGAAAAAGCATTTAAACAAATTGGGCATTTGTAGCGGCTGTCAAAATCAGATCGTCCATTGTTTCAGATTTTACATATCAATATAAAACACTTTTGAGAGCTGGTGCACTGTACTTGTGAATGTGTGAGTTATAGATCTTATTTCTAATAAATGTCCCGTGCTAGGTTTTGATATAAAGTGACTCTTGCATCTAACTGGTGTTCAACAGTTCAGTCGCAGCATGTCAGAACTATTACACGTTACTATTTCCTTATTGAGCTATACGTAAATGTAAGAGCAGGTACACACGTTAATTATCCTATGAATAGAAAGCTCCTCGTCCTCCTTAACAGTTTTTGACTTTCAAGAATGGAGATTTTCATTAAACTATGAACATACCACGACTACTCAAGTTAAATCCTTAAAAAGATGATTATGGCTGAACGTATTAACTTTTTTCTGGTACTCATGTGAATGAAGTCTCACAATTGATAATCAGTTCTAAACAGCATCTTATGATTATCTTTGTTTAACATAATCGTACCTTAATTTTGAGGACTTACTGGCTCCATCAGAGTATGTAAATGGGAAAATACATCGTTTTCAAAGCCCTACCGTGTTAACCCCGATATTATCCTGAGAACACACACACACACGTAAATATAAGCATACACAACATACACAAACACATATATATATACATGTACACAATACACACCAACACACACACCACACACAATCACACATATTTAACAACACTGATGGTGAAAATCAGGTTATTATTGCAGGTATTGTATTTATTGCTGATCATATTGTTTCCACACCTTAATATCCATAGCGATAAGGTCCAAAGAAGCCAAAGGCATAAGGGCGATAAAGGCCATAGCCATAGCCTCCGTAGTGAGGCTCTGGTTCGGCCTCAGCCTCCCTCTTGCCGATGCCGTGGGCGTGGACGTAGGAGTGGGCGTGAGGGGCATAGAGGTATCCGTAGGGGTAGCCGTAGCCTCTGTAGTAATGCGGTTCGGCTTCTCGTTTGCCTACAGCATGTGCATGAGCAGGGACTCCAAGGCTGTAGCCGTAAGAGTAGGAGGGGAAGCCGTAGTATCCAGCGTAGCCAAAGTGGGGCTGAGCTTCCCTCTTCTGCTCTGCTGCCACTGCGACAGCCAACAGAACTACGAACTGGATGCATATGAAATTAGTAGGACAGAAAATAAACTTCTATTACAATAATAACACTACTACACACACACATATACATGCATATGAATATATGTATATATATGTATATATTATATATATATAATACAGTATATATATACATATATACATATTACATATTTATACATATTTACATACACGCATATATATAATACTGTACATATACATCTTTACAAAGTTGTGGATGCTGCATTTTTATATACATAAACTATAGATTATGTAAAATAAAATTTGCTTATCGGGAATTGATTGTTATTCTTTTTATATTCTCTGCAACACAGCAAGATCTGACTTACTATGATCTTCATGACGGCGGGTTGTCAGCGTGGAGTGATGAGTGAAGGGACGGACTTGGCTTTTATACTCTCCAGCCTCAGCCAGTGTCACGCATCTGACCAACAAAGCTGAAAGACATGTCAATCAGCATCGTCCACTGGTTCAGATTGGGCTGAACATAATCTTGTAGATACATGTAAGACATTTTGTATTGTATTTGTAAAAATATGTTCAATATTTGAGTTTTTATATGTGTGAGTTTTCTGTATAAAATGAATTTAATGACAACTATTTGTAAGGATACATAATGTCAAAAAAATCCTCGAAAGATTCCTATTTGTTTTAATTTCAGTGCAAACGTAAGAGTTATTGCACACAAAGATTAAATATTGTAAATGAATTATTCGTGTTAATTGTATTCTGAAATTTATATATATAAAATCATATCAAAGCATGGTTTCCTTTTCATTAATATATATATATATATATATATATATATATATTATATAGTGTGTATCATGAATATATACATATATAATTAAATATGTATGTATATGAATATAAATATATATATACATTCATATATGTATATACATATATACACACTGTTATATATTTATGACACATATAGAAATACTGCACGTTTATGTCAATTTGTTTATGTACATTGCACATATGCTACATGACTTCATTTAGATAACACATATATGGATGTCTCCTCTCTACTATATATATATATATATATATATATATATATATATATATATATATAGTATATATATATGCTATTTTAATATATTTTATTTATTTTTTATTTATTTATTTATTTTTTTTTTTTAAAAGAATTATTTTACTGGATGGATTAATATGTCATACTGCATATGGCTGTATATGTAAGAAATTCGTATACCTGTATCTGTAGGAATCTTATTTAACAGAATGTCAGATAATGCTCTTGAAGTGACTGTTAGTGAATTTATTAGTTTAACCTTCATACAGATGTATGTTGAAATGTTAATGCAGGTGATTATATATACATATATTTTATTCTGACACTACTATTGATAAATCCTTGAATTTGGTACTTCGCCTTATAATATATGTCTATTGTAAGGAAATGCATTTCCAGTTGCTTTTCATATCATATCATTTGCATATCTTTGTCGGTGAGCTATTATTCACCGAAAAGCAATTATCAACTGAAAACATGCCTGGAAAGCAACCACAACCGAATCTGTTGAACTGCATTGGCCTTCTTGTGTAATGATGAATAATGATAATTGCTGTGCATTGTTTTTACTGTGCATTGTGAGACTTTTTTTCACATCATGCTAGGGCAGTTTTTTCCCAAATTTCTTCGGGTGCGACCCTAAAGACAGTCTTAGCCTGGGCTAACGACCCTAAATGTGAACATGTACTAATATATTTAGCCATTTTCATGGTAGTTATACTTGCAGCTGTATATTAGCTTACATTATTCTATGCTTCTATAAGTTTACATACGAAATGCAAGAGACGGTATCATATACTGTCACTTGCCTTATGCATTAATTTTTCACTCATTTTACTTCCTGTCAAGATGTGGCACCGTCACACGAGTAGTGTAACAATATGAGTATTGCTACTATAATAAAGTGAGTAATGAGTATACATGCCAGGCATCAACATTGAAAGTAATATTGTGTAAATAGGAGAATGGTTAAAGCGTGATCAGAACGGGGAATAAGACACATAGCTTTGAGTCCAACGAATAATGAATAGAGATCACATCGGTTCATAAAGATAATACTTGAACACAGGAGTAAATCAACAAGAGTAGGTGTACTTAACAAACCAAACTTCTGAATGTGCTCTAATGTAGGAATTCACCCATATACTCAATAGTTTTGTATAAAGCTCTTGGCCTTCACGTCTTGGTTTTTGAAATTTCCTTCATTCAAAGAGTTTATTAAATCGCCTTTGTAATGTAATACTATAAAAATATCAGACGATGATATTTAATACTTTTTTCTTGAAGAGAAAATAAAGGTATGAATAATCGAAATGTCTGGGAATCTAACAGAGTACCCATTGGTGATTATTACTGTATGCTCGCGTTTGCTTTCCTGACATTATCCTATTTTCTTTATTATATATACAGTTTTCTTTTGTCTATTTATTTTCTAGGGCCCACGCAATTGAAGAGAAAGACAGGTTAATCTTGCAGGTCATTTATTGATTGATCTTTCCGTTATTTTACATGTCAGTATCCGTAACGATAAGGTCCAAAGAAGCCAAAGGCATAAGGGCGATAAAGGCCATAGCCATAGCCTCCGTAGTGAGGCTCTGGTTCGGCCTCAGCCTCCCTCTTGCCGATGCCGTGGGCGTGGACGTAGGAGTGGGCGTGAGGGGCATAGAGGTATCCGTATGGGTAGCCGTAGCCTCTGTAGTAATGCGGTTCGGCTTCTCGTTTGCCTACAGCATGTGCATGAGCAGGGACTCCAAGGCTGTAGCCGTAAGAGTAGGAGGGGAAGCCGTAGTATCCAGCGTAGCCAAAGTGGGGCTCAGCTTCCCTCTTCTGCTCTGCTGCCACTGCGACAGCCAACAGAACTACGAGCTGGATGCATATAAAATTAGTGGATAGAAAATAAACCACTATAATAATAACTAAACTACACACACACACACACACACACACATATATATATATATATATATATGTATGTATATGAATATATGTATATATGCCTATATATACATATATGTATGCTTATATATATAAACAGTATGTATATACATATACATGTACATGTATACTTATACATATGTTTACATACACGCATATATATAAATACTGTACATATACAACTTTACAAAGTTGTGGATGCTGTATGGTTTTTATATCACATAAACTATAAATTATGTAAAATAAAATTTGCTTATCGGGAATTGATTGTTATTCTTTTTATATTCACTGTAAAACAGCAAGATCTGACTTACTATGATCTTCATGACGGCGGGTTGTCAGCGTGGAGTGATGAGTGAAGGGACGGACTTGGCTTTTATACTCTCCAGCCTCAGCCAGTGTCACGCATCTGACCAACAAAGCTGAAAGACATGTCAATCAGCATCGTCCACTGGTTCAGATTGGGCTGAACATAATCTTGTAGATACATGGAAGACAATTTGTAGTGTATTTGTAAAAATATGTTCAATATTTGAGTTTTTATATGTGTGATTTTTTGTATAAAAATTAATTTAGTGTATGGTAACTATTTATTCGGATACATAATGTAAAAAAAAAAAAAAAAAAAAAAAAAATCATCGAAAGATTCCTATTTGTTTTAATTTCAGTGTAAACGTAAGAGGATTGCACACAAAGATTAAATATTCTAAATGAATTATCAAAGCATGGTTTCCTTTTCATTAATATATATATGTAAATGTTGATGTGAGTATTGTCATGAATATATACATATCTAATTATATACATATGTATAATATGAATATGAATATATATATATATATATATATATATATATATATATATATATATATATACACATTCATATATGTATATCCATATATACACATGTATATATATTTATGAAACATACACACGTATAGAAGTGCTGCACGGTATTTACGTGTTTATGTAATATTAATATATATCTTTGTCAATTTGTTTATGTACATTGCAAATATGCTAGATGAGTTCATTATAGATAACACATGTATGGATGTCTCTCTCTCTCTTACTATATATATATTATATATATATATATATATGCATGGATGTATATGTATATTTATATATATACATATACATATATATATTAACACGCGCGCGCGAATATATATGACTGTAGAAAATTTTTTATTTTATTTTTATTTATTTTCATTAAAAAAAAAAAAAAATAAATAAAAGGCATTATTTTACTGGATGCATTAATATGTCATACTGCATATGCCTGTATATGTAGAAAATTCATATACCTGTTTCTGAAGGAACCTTATTTAATAGAATGTCAAATAATGCTCTTGAAGTGTTAGTAAATTTATTAGTTAACCTTCACACAGATGTATGTTGATGATAATGCAGGTGATCATATACATATATTTATTCTAGCACTACTGTTGATAAATGCTTGACTTTGGTACTTCGCCTTATGATAAATGTCTAACTAAAGTGATATAAAGAGATTCATTTCCAGTTGGCTTTCCATATATCATTTGCATATCTTTGTCGGTGAAATAATATTCACCGAAAAGAAATTATCAACTGAAAGCATGCCTGGAAAGGAACCACAACCAAATCTGTTTAACTGCATTCTTGGTGTAATGGTGAATAAAGATGATAGTTGTGCATTGTTTTTACTGTGCATTGTGAGACTTTTTTTCAAATCATGCTAGGCAGTTTTCCCAAACTTCTTCGGGTGCGACCCTAAAGACAGTCTTAGCCTGGGCTAACGACCCTAAATGTGTGAACATGTACTAATATATCTAACCATTTTCATGGTAGTTATACTTGCAGCTGTATATTAGCTTACATTATTCTACGCTTCTATAAGTTTACATACGAAATGCAATAGAAGGTATCATATACTGTCACTTGCCTTATGCATTAATCTAGGAACAGTTTCTTCAACAAGCTGTACTCATTTTTACTTCCTGTCAAGATGTGGCACCGTCACACGAGTATTGTAACTATATATGAGTATTGCTACTATAATAAAGTGACTAATGAGTATATATGCCAGGCATCAACATTGAAAGTAATATTGTGTAAATAGGAGAATGGTTAAAGCGTGATCAGAACGGGGAATAAAACACATAGCTTTGTGTCCAACGAATACTGAATACTCGAATAATTGAACACATCCTAATACTTTGAACAGCATGTATCATAAAGTACAAACGACTCAATGACTAGTAGTGCCGTAATGTATGTGAGGTGGAAAGCCATTATCCAGTCAGTAGCTATGGTGGGGCGTAAGGTAGCCATAGTTCCCTCTTCGGTTGCTCTGCCTGCGTGGGCACTAAGTGTCGTACA